CAATAGTGGATTCCTGTCAAGGTGGTCGACTAACGTTTTGGTTGAGGGATTAATGTTACTCTTGAAAATAGTGTAAGGGCCATACAAGACTGTTTGAAGTCAGTGTTACAGCAGCATCAACATTACCTCTTACCCTCTTACCTCTACAAAGGTAATCTTTCGAGCTCTTCTTCACTTCTTCTTCCCTCACCCCAATATGACATCTCTCCTGGCCAGGCTACTCCTGACCTCCCCATAACAGTCATCTAACTGGGATCAGCTTTCTGATGGCTTTTGTTATATCCGAGTACCTGTCTCAGAGTACCTGACTACTCGTTGGGAGAAAAAGTTTTTCGTGATATATAATCTAATTTTTCATAATATGTAATCTCAATCTCCCAAGGCACAACTTGTGGCCATTTCCTTGAGTCCTACCATTAGTTATCTGAGAGAAGAGGCTGACCCCTGCCTCATCACAACCTCAAGAGCATGTGTTCTCACCTTGGCAATTCCAAAGGGACACAAGTCACTGGAATGTGCTGGGACTTGGTCTGTGCTTACTGAGCCTCAGTAAGTGCCACTGACTGAGCAGGTGCAGATGGTTACCACACTGTTCTACCAGTTGGGGAAAGGCTGGACATCAGTCAGTAATGAGCAATTGCAGTGTGTTTAACTTGCTTTGTACATAACAATAACAATAACAATAACAATAACAATAACATCAACTATTATTATTTCTCTTCCCTTTCAGTCCTTTAAACTGCTCTTATCTCAACACATGGACGCTGGTGTGAGCCAACTGCTGTGTGGTGCTGAGCTGCCCACCAGGTTAAAGCACAACATGTTTGACAACCACAGTCCAACAGCACAAATCACCCTTGTAAAAGTCATCTCCCCTGTGTTCAGAGAAGTGCAGTTGGTGATAAATTCAGTCTGATTCAAACAGCACACCCCAGCAAAGACCCTGCTGCCTTCGGAAGCTGTCAGCCCTGAGGCCTTGAGGACACCTCGAGGGAGCCCAAGGGCACAGAGCAAGCGATGCCATGGTCGGGTGCTGTGCTGCTGAGCTGGGCCGGGCTCGTGGGACAGAGAGAGCTCGTGGCAAGAGGGCCCTGGTGAAGAGAGACAGCTGTGCCCAGGAGCAGCTCCTCTGCACAGCGCAGCAGGGCTGGAGGCTGCTGAGGGCCAGGGCGGCTGCTGCAGGGGCAAGGAGCTCAGCATGGCCCTTGCAGCCTGCCTCTGCCCTTGGGCCCTTGTGCTCAGCCCCGGCCTTGGCTCTGCTGGCAGGAGCGCTCTTGGCATGCACTTCCTGGCCTCCCCTCGCCTGCACACAGAATCACAAAGAATCACAGAATTTCTAGGTTGGAAGAGACCTCAAGATCATCAAGTCCAACCTCTGACCTAATGCTAACAGTCCCCACTAAACCATATCCCTAAGCTCTACATCTAAACGTCTTTTAAAGACTTCCAGGGATGGTGACTCCACCACTTCCCTGGGCAGCCTGTTCCAATGTCTAACAACCCTTTCGGTAAAGAAGTTCTTCCTAAGATCCAACCTAAAACTCCCCTGGCGCAACTTTAGACCATTTCCCCTCGTCCTGTCACCAGGCACGAGGGAGAACAGACCAACCCCCACCTCGCTACAGCCTCCTTTAAGGTATCTGTAAAGAACAATAAGGTCGCCCCTGAGCTTCCTCTTCTCCAGGCTGAACAAGCCCAGCTCCTTCAGCCGCTCCTCGTAGGACTTGTTCTCCAGGCCCCTCACCAGCTTCGTTACCCTTCTCTGGACCCGCTCAAGCACCTCGATGTCCTTCTTGTAGCGGGGGGCCCAAAACTGAACACAGTACTCGAGGTGCGGCCTCACCAGAGCCGAGTACAGGGGGACGATCACCTCCCTAGCCCTGCTGGTCACACTGTTTCTGATACAAGCCAGGATGCCGTTGGCCTTCTTGGCCACCTGAGCACACTGCTGGCTCCTATTCAGCAGACTGTCCACCATCACTCCCAGGTCCTTCTCTGCCTGGCAGCTCTCCAACCACTCATCTCCCAGCATGTAGCTCTGCTTGGGGTTATTGCGCCCCAGGTGCAGGACCCAGCACTTGGCCTTGTTGAACTTCATGCAGTTGAATGGAGCATCACTGTGGGTGAACCTTGAGAAACTGCAGATTTTGACTTCAGAAAACATTTGACATTTACATGGAGAAGAGCCCAGTCCTGTACCAGAGGAAGAGAAACCCCACCCATCAGGGCAGACTGGGACCCTGCTGAGTGAGCAGTGGCAAGGAGGAGAGGGCCTGGGCACCACGAGGGATGCCATACGAGCAGTGGTGCCTGCTCACCAGGAACCAGGCCAGCTTTCTACAGAGATGCCTTACGAGGGGCATGGCCACCAAGAAGATCTGAGGTATCACGCTCAGCTCAGATCTGCTGTGACACCACAGAGATAATGGTCTGCAGCCAAAAAGGAAAGATGTGGAGGTCTCGGAGTCCCTAGAAAAGCCATGTATAGACATAATAGAGGGCTGTGACAAGGCTTAAATTCCCAACAGGACCAGGTGTTTGTGTCCATGGCTATGTCTGTTTTCTCGGCCACTGAGGCCTATGACGAGACAGCTGACTGTGAAAGCACCAGGGCCTCATTGCCTCCTCATCCCCTCCCATGAAGCAGGCAGGGGTCGTACCATTTTTCTGCACATGGCCATGCATATCCCCATCTCCTACTGCCCCACAAAGAGCCCTGAGCAAGGTGTGACTGCTAAGGATCTCCCTTCCCAGAGGAAATGGGTCAAGGCCTGGCCCTTGTGCTTGCTGACACACATCCAGTTTGTCCACACCTCAGTGTCACCTTCACATTGCCTTTGTCTCCTTGTCCTCACTGCCTCCAGGGTTCTGCTCTAACGAGCTCCAAGGGAGGCTGTGTCAGTGCTGGCCCTCAGGGGGGCACTGCAGGAAACTTGCCTCTGACTTGCACTTCTGGAGAGATGTCTTCAATTGTCTCTGAGTGCCTGAGGTTCGTGGGCTCATCAGCAAAGCCCCCAGAGAGGTGATTGCAGTGCCTTGGGCTGGTGCTGTCCTGCTGAGCTGGGCCGGGCTCGTGGGACAGAGAAAACTCATTTCAAATGTGATCCTGTTGCAGAGAGCCAGCTGAGCCCAGGAGCAGTTCCTCTGCACAGCGCAGCAGGGCTGGGGGCTCTGACCGCAGCTGGCACACCGAGAGGAGAGAAAGAGAGAGGGCTTGGAGGCACTGAGGAGCGCAACAACAGAGGGCAGCGTGTGGCAGGACACATCTGCAGGCTCCTGACACCGTGAGGCTCTGGCAGCAGGGCCATGCAGGTGGGGTTGCCAGAGGGATCTTCTACAGCTGGCACATCTGATAGCTTTTGTCAGGATGGGTCTTATTCTACCTGTAATGTGGCATAAAAGATGTTTTAGGGAATGGTATTTTTGAGGGGGTATTTTAACAGGAAGACCGAGGCTTGGTTTATCTGAAATGGAATACTTTCTTGGAATTTTGTGCTTTTAGATTCTTGGTGTGGAGGGGAGGCAGGGTTCATGACAATGAATTGTCTGGATTGTAGAGGAGACTGAGACTCCAAGAGTATTGCAGTGAGAGACCAACATGGCAGCAATTAACGTGATCAAATCCCTTCAGGCACCTCTGCCTAAAGACTGAAACAACAAAGTTTGTTGTCTCCTCAGGGCTTATCAGGTCTTCAGGAGCTGAAACCCCTGTGATGTACTGTACTCAGGAAGCACACAGTTTCTCGGATAGTGTCTGTGAACAAGGACATGAAAGATAGGTGGGGACAGAGATCCTGTTTCCAGCAGGGACATAGGAAGGCAGTAGAGATATGAGCAGGGCAGGCGGTGAGAGGGAGCTGCTGCCACAAATGCTGTGTGAGGGAGGGCTCAGGCACCTCCCTGCCATCCCCTGCAGGGCAGGCGCCTTCCCTGGGACACCCCCTGCTCTCCTCTCCCACCAGCACAGCCTCTGCCCTCAAGCCCCCGCTGTCCCCAGCAAGAGCTGCCTCCTCTGCAGGCAGAGCTGCAGCACAGGAGGGTCTGCTGAGTGTCCGTCTGTCCCTCCCTGGCCTTGCCTCCCCTGGCAGCAGCACGCTGGCATTCCTGCTGGCTTCTCCAGCTGGCCGTGCTGCTGCTGGTCTTGTTCCCAGGCTGGCTGGGGATGGGGGTTTCACATGCCCATGGGGTGAGCCCTCGGTGTGCTTGGGGGAAAGGGAGTATGGAGACAAGGTGAGGGGTGTGGAGATGGGCACTTTGAGCCTGGATTCCTCTGCTCTCAGCAGTGTCTTTGTTCTTTTCAATCAAACATGTGAGTAGAACTTTCCTACAGCTTTCATGGGGCAGCTGAGACCATACTTCATGGACAGACTGTCTGTCGTCCCCGAAAAACCATGTGCACTAAAGTGACAGTCCCTTTTTCTCTGATAATCTACAAGGATTCCCTTTGAGTCCAGCAGAAATAACCAGGATCTGTGGCTCAGAAACACTCCTCAGAAGCGTTGGGACAGCTGAAAAAAAAAATTCAAAAAACAGAAATTTAAAATAAAATTAAAAAAAAGCCTCCACACCTCTGCTTTGCAGTTTGGTGAACTGGGAGCAACATGGGGGTAAACCTCTTTGAAATCAGGGGGGAAGTGAAACTGACATTTCCCCATGCTCCTCTTCACCTCTTTCTTTAGGACAGGACTGATTACTGCACTACTCACAGCAGAGCCCCCTGTTCCAACAGACACCGTCAGGCAAAATGAATCAGGATGCATGAAAGGGATCTGCCAAATGTCTGTCAGAAAGTGCACAATATAGGCAATGATTTTAAATGAGAAATTGAATTCATTTTCCTCTGATACATTTCTTGTAATTTCTTATTCTCATCCTCTTCTTTGTTCAGGAACACATCCCCAGAAAAACAGATGTCCAACAGAAGTACCATCACTGAGTTCCTGCTCCTGGCATTTGCAGACACGCGTGAGCTGCAGCTCCTGCACTTCGCGCTCTTCCTGGGCATCTACCTGGCTTCCCTCCTGGGCAACGGCCTCATCCTCACCACCGTAGCCTGCCACCACCGCCTCCACACCCCCATGTACTTCTTCCTCCTCAACCTCGCCCTCCTCGACCTGGGCTGCATCTCCACCACTCTGCCCAAAGCCATGGCCAATGTCCTCTGGGACACCAGGGCCATCTCCTATCAAGGCTGTGCTGCACAGGTCTTCTTTTTTGTCTTCTTCATATCAGCAGAGTATTATAACCTTACTATCATGGCCTATGACCGCTACGTTGCCATCTGCAAGCCCCTGCACTACGGGAGCCTCCTGGGCAGCAGAGCTTGTGCCCAGATGGCAGCAGCTGCCTGGGGCAGTGGCTTTCTCATTGCTTTCCTGCACACAGCCAGTACATTTTCCCTGCCCCTCTGTCATGGCAATGCTGTGGACCAGTTCTTCTGTGAAATCCCCCACATCCTCAAGCTCTCCTGCTCAGATTCCTATCTCAGAGAAGTTTGGGCAGTTCTATTTAGTATTTTTTTAGCATTTGGTTGTTTTGTTTTCATTGTGGTTTCCTATGTGGAGATCTTCAGGGCAGTGCTGAGGATGCCCTCTGAGCAGGGCCAGCACAAAGCCTTTTCCACGTGCCTCCCTCACCTGGCTGTGGTCTCCCTCTTCATTAGCACTGGCATATTTTCCTACCTGAAGTCCCCCTCCATTTCGTCTCCATCCCTGGACCTTGTCTTTGCACTTCTGTACTCGGTGGTGCCTCCAGCAGTGAACCCCCTCATCTACAGCATGAAGAACCAGGAGCTCAAGGATGCAGTGAGGAAAATGTTTCCATACATTGTTCTTAAGCATCCATGATGCGTTTAGAAAATGTATTTTTAATAATATGCAAATATTTTGATTCACATTATATCGTATCTATTTTATCGTTACTAGTGTTATCATAACATTGTCATTAATAAGAATCCCAAGAGAAATCAAAGTGTATTTGGGAAAATGACACAATTTTTTACATTATTTTTCTCTGTTAGTATTTGAACAATATTTCATTTTGTTTTTAATAATCTCATTCTACCTTCCAGAATGTTACATCATTTGTAAGGTTTGACCACATCATCTATTGTATATACAGAACCAGGCTTTCTTGATAGATAAAGACAATAAAGAACTCAGCTGAAATTCATTGGTCTCAGTTTCCTTCTCTTCCCATCTCCTCTTGAGCTTGGGGAGCAGCACCAACATCCAGGAGGGGCTCAGGGCCAAGAGCCCAGCTGCCACGGGTAGGAGCAGTGTATTTGGATTAGAACTTGTGTATCTAGGTGGCAGTCCTGTCCTCTCTATAGCAGGGCTGCCACAAAGCCTTTCCCACGTGCCTCCCTCACCTGGCCATGGTGTCTGTCTCCCTCAGACCTGTCATGGTTGCCTTCTTGAAGCCCCCTTCCATCTCCTCCCCATCCCTGGACGTCGTGGAGGCAGTTCTGTACTCAGTGGTGCCTCCAGCAGAGCACGTCCTCATCTGTACCATAATGATCCAAGAGGTCAAGCATGCTTTGTGGAAATTAATGACTAGATGTGTCTTGGATGAAAGAAATTTCTGATCTGCATCTGCATATGATTTGTAATGTCAATAATTGGGCGAATATCCAGTATACATCTTTTTTTTTTTTTTTTTTTTTTTTTTGTGGTTGTGTTTGTGCATATTCTGATTACATTAATTAGGCTAATGAACACCCATTAAAATGATATTGGTGTCCCTGTTGAATATAGCTCATAGACTCTGAGCATGTGAAGCCATGCTCTATGTGAATTTAACCTTAAGGAAGTTAAAGTTCAAAAGGCTTTTTTGTCTGACATCCTTCCTCCGAGACCTGGTCTGGCTCTGCAGGGGCAGTGCCCATGTGCAGGGCTGCAGAGGAAAAGAGTCCCATCCCAGCAGCACGGACAGGGAGCACCAGCACTTGTGGCATGCAGAGCTGCTCTCTTGCCACTGCCACCCTCTCCTGCTGAGCCCTGCTGGTGGGGTCAGGCCCGGCTGCTCCTGGAGCTTGGTGCCAGTGCTGCTGTGGAGCTGTGCTGGGACTGCAGGCAGGGACAGGCAGTGGGCACGGCAGTGGCACAGCTGGCCTCCACTGCAGCACTTCCCTCCTAAGAGGGGATCTCCTCCGAGGTGGACTGAGCAGAGCTTAAGTGCTCAGTCTGGTGTGAGCAGGCAGAGGCACGCAGCTCATGCAGCAGCCTCAGGAAAGGAGCCTGGCGAGTGATTCCTTGCAGCCCTGGGGCAATGGCAGTGACCCCATGAGCTGGGTCTGCTTCCAAGCCTGCCCAGCACTGCCCTGCAAAATGCCCCCATGCCCCAGGCACCACAGCCCCCTCGCTCTGCAGAGCAGCACCACCAGCTGGGGCTGGGGTTGGGGCTGGGGCTTGGAGGGTGCTTCCCCTGAGTGTCTGCTAGGCCAGCTTCAGGCTTCTGGACTTGAGTGTGATCCCAACTGTACACTAGGAGCTGAGAGACAGGCACGGGGCTGGAACATTGCCTGCAAGGTCCCTCCTGCTCTAGCACCTCACAGGACTGGCTCCTGTGTGTCAGAGAGGCTGGGAGCCCAGCAGGTGTGCCATAAGCTTGGAGGATCACTACCAGATCACTTCTACCTGGGCAGATCTGGCCCCCAAAAGGGGGTGTTTTGTAGGTGTGGTATTATTTGCTCAGTGGTGTATCAGAAGCACTAAGTCCAGCAGGAAGCGAATGGCTGTTCAATGGGCTGTGAGTTGAGCTCTTTCTGAAGTAGCTGACAGGTCACCCTTGACTCCTGGCTGGGATCTGTGCCTTTAGGCTCACATCTGCCAGTGTCCATGGTAGGGCAGCAGAAGGCACTTGCTGTGCATGTAGTTTCTGAGATCGGCTCTTTCTAAGTACCTGGTAGGCCCCAGAAGAAGAAGAAGAGGAAGAGGTATTGGCTAGGGGTTGTCATGTCAGAGGTGTCAGCTTTTGCCTGAAGTCATCCTTTAGGACTGCTTTCAGTTTTTGACACAGAGGGGGCCACTGCCTCCAAGACGCTTGGGGCAAACTGAACCATGCACGAGGGTTTGGAAATAGATAGCCTGGGTGCAAAGAAGGCATTCCGTATCCAGAAGTTGTAGGCAGGAAAGAAAATTTTGGGGTGGTACAAGACCTGCTGGGCACATTGTGCAGGGTTCACCTACAGCCTTTGGGATATTTTCCATCCTGACTTAGGTTCCATATCAGTCTCAAGAAAGGAGTACCCAACGGATATGAGGCAGATACTCTGAGATCATGAAAGCCATCAGAAAGCTGCCCCTATGAAGATGACTGATATGGGGAAGTCAGGAGAAGCCTGGCCAGAGAGATATGAGATTTGAGGGAGGGAAAAGGAGTTTGGCCAGGAGAAATTAATGATTTCTGTGAGGTTAGAATGTTCAGGCAATGTAGATTCTGCTCTAACGCTGGCTTAAAACAGTCATGTAAAGCCATTCCCATATTTTAACCAGTGATATTAATTCCCAAACATAAATGCTACTCCACACCCTGACAGGAATCCACTATTCTTATGCCTGACCTCAAAGTATCCCTTCAAGCCAAAACACAGCCTACAGCCGCTTCCCTTTATCTTTAGTCTCTTGCTCACCCTGATCTGATCAGCTTGTGAGCCACAAGGAGGAGATGGGTGGGGATACTCAGAGGAGCTCAGCTCTCCCTCAGAATCTCCTGCCCCAGCAGGAGGAATGTGACTGTGGCAGTGACTGTGAGGTCACTTCTGTCTCTGCACTTGATAGAGCAGCAGCAGGAACGTGTCACAGAAAGGGACTGTGAGGTCAATTCTGTCTGGAGGTGGCAGGTCAGCCTTGACTTCTCCCTGGGAGCTGCTCTTTTGGGCTGACATCTGGCAGTGGCCCTGCTAGGCCAGCAGAAGGCACCTGCTTGGCATGCTGACTGGGGGAATCCTCTCTGCCTACACACTCAGGAGGACCCAGGCAGAAAGAAGGCCCCCAGATGGGTTGTCCTGTCCCTTCCGCTTGAGTCCATGAGTGGGCAGCAGCAGCAGGCACAAGGCTTGGCTGTGTCTAGCCAAGAAGCTGCAAGGCCAGCAGCAGGCCCCTGGCTTGGAAGGTGCTGCTGAGGTGACTTGTGTCTGGTTGGCTGAGAGGCCACAAGGAGCCTGCTGGGTTGGGATGCCTACTTTAGGAGGGGTTTCCACCCTGATGGAGCTTTCTTTGGTAGCAGGAAAGAGCAGGAGAGAAAAACTTGCCACAAAGTGTTCCATGGAAGGCTGGTACTGGTCACAAGGAGGGAGAAATGTCCCTCAAAGGGTCATGCTGTGGTGCCAGATGTCACCCTCTGATCAGACTCTGGCTTTGTGTTTCAAGGAACAGCTGGTGAGGGCTTTCAAGACGTCAGTGAAAGCAAGGCATGAGAGCAAGATGGTGAACAGAGATGGGTGTCTGCAGACTTCAAGAAAATAGGGCAATGTGTGGGACAGCATTGGAAAACCTGCAGAGGAGAAGGCAGAGGGTGCTGGTAAAAAGGGAAGACCCAACAGCCCTGAAGGTTTTTCCCCTTGGCAGTAGCTTAGGAGGAGATATGTTATACTCATTGCAACCCTGTGCAGCAGCTCAGAGGTGTCACTACCACTGTTCTTCTCATGGCATCCCACTGCCCACCAAATCCCACAGACTCCAGCAAGAGCTTTGAGCCGGACGTGGGGGTGCAGGATCTCCTGTTCCAGTGGCTGGGGTCAGGCCTTGGACCTTTTAATTCACCAAAACCAACAAAAACATTTCTCAGCACAGTGCTTTGCCTATCTGAAATCATGGTCTCCAATTATCTACCCTAACTAGTCCCTGGGGAGGCTTTGTTAGTAACAGCCCTCAGTGGGGCCCATTAATACTCCAAGTCACTTCAGCTTTTCCTTCTGACTTTAGCTTTCTCTAGCAGTTGCATCATTGTCCTCTCAGTACCTGAGCTTCATAGACTCAGCACTACAATACACCGTGGAACTCATTAAAATGCAGAAATTCCTAACATCTCCTCCATAGTTTTCTTCAAGGTTTCACGCCTTGTGCAGCTAATTGCAGAGTTTGCATGACATAGTTAAGGGAAAAGATTTCACAAAGCACATAATAAATATATTTTCTTGATTCAAAGGCTGAATTTTGTTGCATTTTAGTTTGGATCATCATTCTCCTATTGCTACTGATCCAGGGTGACTTCTTTGGAGACCTCCATCAGGAGGAATAGCAGAGTCTGGAGGTCTGACACCTCCACTGCCAGCAGTGGTCTTTGTCCCTGTAACTGCAGCCCAGCCCAGCACATGAAACCCTTTCTAAGATAAGTCAGGGGTGTGTTCAGATAATAATAACATAACATAACATAACATAACATAACATAACATAACATAACACAACACAACACAGCACAACATAAATAAAATAAAATAAAATAAAATAAAATAAAATAAAATAAAATAAAATAAAATAAAATAAAATAAAATAAAATAAAATAAAATAAAATAAAATAAAATAAAAAGATTGAAATGATCATTGGATCCTGAGAAATTCAGCCTGAATCTCAGTAGACACCTGGACATCCATGGACCTATCTTGGATCATCTGTGGAAAACTCAGGGTGAAAACTAAAGAAAATATATCTTTATTGGCTCTAGCTGTACCCATGAGCCTGGCCTCATTGGGGAAATTGTCCCCTTCCAGCCACAGAATCCTAAATAGAGTAAAGGGGAAAAAGCTGCCCAGTCAATGGAGTAGGGCAAAGTCCTACTTGCTGTGCTATAGATGCAGAAGGCAAAAAGAACTGTGTTGTGCCTGACACTACTCTGGGATGTGTAACCCAGGTCAGGCAACTTTACCTTAGTGCTGACAAGTCCATCACTAAAGCATGCTACCAAGCTCTACATCTACACCTTGGCTCTCCAGTCGATGACTCAGCTCATGGATGGCAATCAGGGAGTCTCTGTTAGCGTGACGCTGCCTCAGGTGTGCCACCATGGTAGCCATTGGCACCTGCTGTTCTTCAGCCCTCCGCAAACCCCCAACAGAAGGATTCTGTGGAAGGCCAAGCAATGTAGACAACTGGTTCATGTCCTTTGTCTCCAAGGCAGCTCTGCCAAAGCCCCACCAGTGGTGCCCTCTTGGAACTTTGCAGTTCCCTCTCCTGATGCAGTCTAAGCTGAGGATGCACATAGCCTCCGGGCCAGTCCCAATGGGGTGTGTGATATATGGAGTAATATTTGTGTCAAGAAGATGGTTGATATAAAGAAGGGGGACATGTGGGGGTGTGGCCATGGGTGTTGGCAATGGTTGATGATACCATCAGACTCTTAAGGATGAGGCCATCAGGAATGTAAAAGAGTTTAGAGGGAACATAGAAAGGTGAGGACCTGTAACCCCGGTCATGCAACTTTACCTCGGTAATGACAAGTCCATCACTAAACCGTGCTACCAAGCTCTACATTGACATCATGTCAGATGTTCACGTGTGCAGGCAGACAGTTCAGCCTTTGTGTGATTGTGCACTCTCTGACAAGACAGCAGCATCTGGAGCTGCAGGAAAGTTTGGATAATACAGGAGTAACCAGCTGAATGGAATTGCAGCACAGAAGAGTCACAGCAATGGAAGGCTGCCAGGTTCCACCTCTTCTGTGCTTCCTTCTCATGCATGCTGTCAGTTTGTCTGGAGCTGTGTCCTAAATGTTATGGGGCTGTACAGGGACGAATATAGAAGGGCCAAAGCCCAGCTGGAGCTCAATCCGTCCGTTACTGTGAAAGACAGTGGATTTGAAAGTCAGGTTGTTTTGAAAGGAAAGAAACTCCTACCCAGACAAGAAAAGAGGAAGAAGGAGATGAGGCAGGCTATTCTGATGTTAGGCCATTGTGGGAACAGGAGGGCAAAGAGGAAGGGATCCTAAGAGCATCAGTAACCACACGATCCCTATCCCGGGGTGAGCTATGAGATGTGTGAAAAGATTTCAGCCGTCGTCCAGGGAGCACATTGTCACCTGGCTGCTCCAGTGCTGGGAGAACGGGGCCAGTAGCCTGGACTTAGAGGGCAGGGAAGCCAAGCAGCTGGGATCCCCCTGTAGAGAAGGGGTGACTGACAGAGGGATTGGAAAAGTAGCACATAGCTTCACCCTCTGGAGGTGACACTTGTCAAGCATCAAGGAAAGGTATCCCTTCAAGGAAGATCTTTTATGTCAACCAGGCAAGTGGACCACCACGGAGAGGGGTATCTGGTACCTGAGGGAAAGTACTGAGTCTGGCTGGGGTAGTTAACTTTCCTCTCAGTGGCCCAAACAGTCTTGTGCTTGGCACTTTTTTCTAGAACAGCCCTGATATCATCCCACTGTTTGGTCTGTTGCTGAGCAATACTGGCACATCAAGTCTACCTCCAAATCCCCCAGAGCCAGTAGGGTGCAGATAGGCAAGAGGTGGGAAGCGGACATCACCAGGGCAGCTGACCTAAACCAACCACAGGGATATTTCATACCATATGAGGTCACACTCAGCAACAAAAGGTGGGAAAGGGGAGGGAGAGAGGGGGCCCTCATTATGAAGACATCTATCCTTCCGTACAGCCACTATGTGTATGCAGGCCCTGCTTCCCAGAACATTACTGAGCATCACTCAGTGATGGGAAGTAGAGAATAATAATTATTTTTTTAATTAAATGACCCTTTTCTTACAGAATCACAGAAATGTTGAGGTTGGAATGGACCTGCAGACATCATCTAATCCAACACCCCTGCTCAAACAGGGCAGCCTGTTCCAGTGTGAGAAACCTCTCTGGGTGAGAAAACCTCTCTGGGCAGCCTATTCCAGTGCTCTGTCACCCAAACAGTGCAGTTCTTCCTCATTTGGTGATGCAACCTCCTGTGGTTAAATTTGTACCCATTACCCCTTGTCCTACCACTGGCCACCACTGAGAAGAGTTTGGCAACATTCTCTTTACAATGTCCCCTCAGCGTGCTTAGTCTTTCCTCAGAGGACAGATGCTCCAATCCCTTAATCACCTTCCTGGCTCTATGCTGGACCCTCTCTAGAAGTCCTACATTCCTCTTAGACATACAACACATAGTGACAAGAGATGATGAAAAGGCTGAAGTACTTAATGCCTTCTTTGCCTCAGTCTCTAGCAGGAAGACCAGTTGTTCCCCTGGTACTCGTCCCCCTGAGCTGGGAGGTAGGGAAAGGGAGCAGGATGAAGCCTTCATAATCCATGAGGAAATGGTTAGAGATCTGCTACTGCACAAAGATTTACACACATCTATGGGGCCAGATGGGATCCACCTGTCACTACTGAGGGAGCTGGCAGAATCACTTCCCAAGCTGCTTTCCATCGTTGATCAGCAGTCCTGGCTATCAGGGGAGGTCCCAGTCAATTGGCAACTAGCAAATTTGACAGCCGTCTACAAGAAAGGCCAGAAGGACAATTCAGGGAACTGCAGGCCTGTAGGTCTGACCTCAGTGACGGGGAAGTTCATGGAGCAGATTGTCTTGACTACCATCACGGAACAGTTCCAGGACCACCAGGTGATCAGGCCCAGTCAGAAGTTATTTATCAAAGGCAGGTCCTGCTTGACAAATGTCATATCGTTCTATGACAAGGTGATGCACTCAGTAGATGAGGGAATGGCTGTGGATGTGGTCCACCTGGAATGCAGTAAGGCTTTTGACACCATTTCCCACAACATTCTCCTGAAGAAGCTGGCTGCTCAAGGTTTAGAGCTTCTTTGGATTAAAAACTGGCTGGGTGGCTGGGCCCAAAGAGTCATGCTGAATGGAGCTAAATCCATTTGGAGGTCAGCCACTAGTGGTGACCCCCAGGGCTCAGTATTGGGGCCAGTTCTCATCTTCATCAGTGATCTAAATGAGGAGATGGAGTGCACCCTCAGTAAGTTTGCAGACAACACCAAGTTAGGCACAAGTATTGGTCTGCTCGAGGGTAGGAGGGCTCTGCAGAGGGACCTGAATAGGCTGGACTCATGGGCCAAGGCCAAATCTATGAAGTTCAACAAGGCTAAGTGCTGGCTCCTGCACTTGGGGCAGCAGAGACACCCTGATCAGGCAGGTTGTTTTCCCAGGGTGAGGCTTATCCCCTGTACACCAGGTGTGCTGGCCCCTGCAATGTGGAGGATATCCAAAATGTGGATTCCCAAATGTGGGAACCTTGGCTGCATACTTTGTGGTAGTGAGGGCCTGCATTCCCATGTTCCCTTGCAATATTTGAGTGCACACATGCAGAGTGACTAGGGAGGGCAGGAAGCAGATGGCTCTCTACTCTCTCTTCTGGGAGCAATATGGAGTGGCTTTCTAGTGAGACAAAAATTGTGTCCACCTGTTGCACCTGCTGGGCTGAGAAACCCAGACAGGGGGGCCACGACCCATCCTGGCAGATGCCTCTACCCAGACTGTCCTCCCAAGGACTGAAATAGCTGCCCAGACCTTCAGCTGAAGGAACTCGAGAATTTGGAGGTCCCCCTAAGGCCTGAAGACAGAGGTTGTGTTTCGTGGGTGCAATCGTGACCAGATAGACACACTCTCTAAGCAAGTGTCCAGGTTGCAAGAGGAGCTCGGCAGGCTGCAATGCATCCAGGAATCTGAGAGAGAGATCGACGCGTGGTATCACGAGCTGGCATAGACTGAACAACAGTCTTACAAACTTGCCTTAACTCCTTGCAATGGGGTGGTAAAATGGTTTCCAACCTGAAACCAGCAGAATTGGTGAACTCACAAGAGGAGGAATACCAGACCCTTGTCTCCGCTCAGAGCAGACTGAGAAACCTCCCCCTTGCCTCTGAAGTGCCCCTACACAACAGATACAATGCTCTGGCACTCAAACAAGGAGAGGGTGTCAATAACAGCAATGGTAATGGTACCAAAGCACCAGAAAGGACAACTGTAAAAAGGTAGACCAGCATACCACTTCTTTAAGGACCCGTTAGACAAAAACAAAAACAAAACAAAACAAAACAAAAAAAACAGACGGTGTTGGTGATTAGAGATTCCTCTCTGAGTGGCAGTGATGCACCCATTTTCTGCCCAAACAATCTCTCTTGAGAGGTTTGCTACCTGCCTGGGGCCGGTATTTGTGACATCACAAAGAAGCTACCGAGCTTGTTCAAGCTAGCGGACTATCACCCATTCCTGCTCTTGCACGTAGGGACAACTGAGGCCATGACAAGGAGGCTCAGAAGCATCCAAAGGGACTTTCTGCCCCTTGGAAAGATGCTGAAGGGATCTGGATCACAAGTAGTGTTCTCCTCGATCCTCCCAGTCAGAGACTGGGAACTGAGGAGGAGGCGGTGTATGGATGCACCTGACCAAGTGTGACAATAGTGTTTTGGGCAGCAAGCTGGCCAGACTCATTAGCAGGGCTTTAAACTAGATTTGGTAGGGGAAGGGGATATACTTGTAAGTGACTCAGAAGAACCCCTGAGTGCCAATAACCTTAACAAATATCAGGGAAACACCTGTGAATCATCCCATAGGATTTAGGAAGGGCTCTTCTAAAAAGGTGATGTGGCCCATAGCCCAGCTGATGGGCCTCTGCACCAATGCATGCAGAATGGGAAACAAGCAGGAGGACTTGGAAGCCATGGTGCAATTAGAAAACGATGATCTACTGACTGATGTCATCTACTTGGATTTCTGTAAGGCCTTGGACACGGTCCCATATGATATACTACTCTCTGCATTGGAAAGATATCGGATTTGAAGGGTGGACTACCACTGGAAAAGAAACTGACTTGATGGCCACAACCAGAGAGTAGGGGTAATGGTTCTATATCTAGGTGGAGGCTGGTGATGAGCGGTGTTGTTCAGGGGTCTGTCCTGGAACCAGAAATGTTTAATATCTTCAACAATGACTTAGCAGGATTGAGTGCACCTTCAGCAAGGTTGCAAATGACCCTAAACGGTGTGACGCAGTTGATACAATAGAAGGAAGGGATGCCATCCAGAGGGACCTGGACAAGCTTGAGAATTGGGCCCACGTGAACTTAATGAGGTTGAACAAGAACAAGTGCAAGTTGTGGCACCCAGGTTGGGGTGGGGGCGATCCTGGACATGAGTACAGACTGAGAGAAGAACACATTGAGAGAAGCCTTGTGGTGAAGGACTTGGGGTACTGGTGGACAAAAGGTTTGACGTGAGCCAGCAGTGAGCGCTTGCAGCACAGAAGGCCAACTGCATTGTGGGCTGCATCAACAGAGGAGTGGCCAGCAGGTGGAAACAGGTGACTGCCCCCCTCTGCTCTGCCCTTGTGAGGACTCACCTGGAGTACTGTGTCTAGATTTGGGGCCACCAGCACAAGAAAGATGTGGACCTCTTACAGAGAATCTAGAGGAGAGCTACAAAGATGATCAGAGGACTGGAGCAGCTCTCCCATGAAGACAGGCTGAAGGAATTAGGTTTGTTCAGCCTGGAGAAGAGAAGGTTCCGGGGAGACCTCCTTGCATCTTGTCAATACTTAAAGGGGTCTTTTTTAAAAAAATGGAGGACTCTTTACTCAGGTAGATAATGACAGAAGGATGTGGGAATGGTCTTAAACTAAAAAGGGGAGATTTAGACTAGATATTAGACATTAGGAGGAAAATCTTCACTGTAAGGGTAGTAAGGTACTGGAAGAGGTTGCCCAGAGAAGATGTGAATGCTCCATCCCTGGAGGTGTTCAAGGCCAGGCTGGATGGGGCCTTGGCCAACCGGATCTAGTGGGTGGAATCTGGCGGGACTTCAGGTAGATGATTTTTAAGGTCCCTTCCAACCCAAGTTATACTATGATTCTATGATACTAGGATGAAAATTAATTAAATCCTAACCAAAACCAGGACACAAATAGGCTAAGGGCAAGATATCTCTGTGTGTATATCAAAAGACAGGAAAAGTGGTGATAGTTATTTAGAAAGTGTCAGACCTGAGTATGACATAGGAACAATGGTACGGAATAAGGGCTGGATATAGTCTGAGTTTTAGATGGGATAGACTTAATCTTTCTTCCTAGTAGCTGGTATGGTGCTGTAAAGAATCAGCGAATCAGAGAGTGGTTTGGGTATGAAAGGACCTTAAAGATCATAAAATTCCAACCCCTCTGCCATGGGCAGACACACCTTCCACTAGACCAGGTTGCTGAAAGCCCCATCCAACCCGGCCTTCAAAACTTCCAGTGAGGGGGGATCCACAACATCTCTGGGCAGCCTGTTGCAGTGCCTCACCACCCTCTGAGTAAAGAACTTCTTAATCACAGAGTTAATCACAGAATCTCTAGGTTGGAAGAGACCTCAAGATCATCAAGTCCAACCTCTAACCTAACACTAACAGTCCCCACTAAACCATATCCCTAAGCTCTACATCTAAACGTCTTTTGAAGACTTCCAGGGATGGTGACTCCACCACCTCCCTGGGCAGCCCGTTCCAGTGCCTAACAACCCTTTCAGTAAAGAAATTCTTCCTAACATCTAACCTAAAACTCCCCTGGCGTAACTTTAGCCCATTCCCCCTCATCCTGTCACCAGGCACATGGGAGAACAGGCCAACCCCCACCTCGCTACAGTCTCCTTTAATGAACTTATACAGAGCAATAAGGTCACCCCTGAGCCTCCTCTTCTCTAGGCTGAACAAGCCCAGCTCCTTCAGCCGCTCCTCATAGGACTTGCTCTCCAGACCCCTCACCAGCTTCGTCGCTCTTCTTTGGACCCGCTCAAGCACCTCGATGTCCTTCTTGTAGCGAGGGGCCCAAAACTGAACACAGTACTCGAGGTGCGGCCTCACCAGAGCCGAGTCCAGGGGGACGATCACCTCCCTAGCCCTGCTGGTCACAGTGTTTCTGATACAAGCCAGGATGCCGTTGGCCTTCTTGGCCACCTGAGCACACTGCCACCTGAGCACACTGCTGGCTCATTTTCAGCCGACTGTCCACCATCACTCCCAGGTCCTTCTCTGCCTGGCAGCTCTCCAACCATTCCTCTCCCAGCCTGTAGTTCTGCTTGGGGTTATTGCGCCCCAGGTGCAGGACCCGGCACTTGGCCTTGTTGAACTAGATGTTAGAACTTCTTTCTAACATCTAATCTGTGAGGAATGTTTTAACAATTCCAATTCGTGTCCATAAATTCGTGTCCATAAATTCGTGTGCATAAAGAATAATTCTGTTTGAATCCTGTCTGCCTCTGAGCCCTGCACTTGCAATTTAGTTCTTGAACCACAGATGCAGTGTGTCCCAGTCTCCCCCTCATTCTAGTCAATTTATCACGTCTTCAGAAAACACTCCTTAAATTTATGAACCTGTTTGCTTTTGTTATTCCTGACTTCTAGTTCTAACAGTTACAGTTTTTTCCTGTCTTCTTCGAGATTGATTTAACACTGCTATAGATGTATATAGATGACTGTGAATAGCTGGGAAAGAATGTTTTAATTGCTCGTGAGTCGTCAAGCTGTTTGGGAGTTTCAGAACAACTGATAATAACTGGTGACTGCTGGTGACTGTTATGAGATACTATGTGGATCCTTGGTATCTGGCCAGGGGGGGCAAAAGATTAAGAGGAAGAAAAAAGAAGTTGAAGGACGGTTGGGAGACAAGACCTGCAGAGAGTGTGCAGAGAGTGTTCCATAAACTTGGAATAGTGCTGAGTGAGTACAAAGGTGAGAGGAAGACTACGAGCCTTCAGCATGACAGACCCCTAGAGACCCCCAGAGGAGACTGATGCGCATGCTCCGGTAGGAGGGACTGGGCCCCGGAAGCTAATTATAATAATCTATTTTTTTAGAAGTAGTAATGAATATGTATTAGTCTAGGAGCATAAAAATCAGCTGCTTGATGTAACTGGTGTGCGTCCTGGTGGAGCGGAGACTCCCGGTGCACCCAGCGCTGTTTGCTTACCTCTATTCCTTTATATTCTTTTAATAAATCCTATTTTTTTATTTAATCCTAATTTGAATCCTGCGCCATTTATAACAACACCACAAACAGAAGAGCAAACCTTCCAAATAAAAATTTGTGTACTCTCTAAACCAGAAAGGTAAGTCCCAGACCGTAGAGGACAACAGAGAGGTCAGCTCTACCTCAGGATCTCCTGACCCAGCAGGAGCAATGTGACTGTGGCAGGGACTGTGAGGTCACTTCTGTCTCTGCACTTGATAGGGCAGCAGCAGGAATGTGTCACGAAAAGGAACTGTGAGGTCACTTGTGTCTGGAGGTGGCAGGTCAGCCTTGACTTCTCCCTGGGATCTGCACTTTTGGGCTGACATCTGGCAGTGGCCCTGTTAGGCCAGCAGAAGGCACCTGCTTGGCATGCTGACTGGGGGATCCCCTCTGCCTCCAGAGCCAGGAGGACCCAGGCAGAAAGAAGGCCCCCAGATGGGTTGTCCTGTCCCTTCTGCTTGAGGCCATGGCTGGGCAGCAGCAGGCACAAGGTTTGGCTGTGTCTAGCCAAGAAGCTGCAAGGCCAGCAGCAGGCCCTTGGCTTGGAAGCTGCTGCTGAGGTGACTTATGTTTGGTTGGCTGAGAGGCCGCAAGGAGCCTGCTGGGTTGGGATGGCTATTTCAGGAGTGGTTTCCACCCTGATAGAGATTTCTTTGGTAATAGGAAAGAGCAGGAGAGAAGAAACTCTCAAAAAGCGTGCCCTGGAATGTTGGCACTGGCCATGAGGAGGAAGAAATATGCAGGGGAACAACTGGTCTTGCTGCAAAGAAGGCTGTAAGAGCCTCAGCCTTTGCCTCCTTTCTTGTTACCAGATTTCCCCCCACATCCAATAAAGAATGATGATTCTCCCTAATCTTCTTTTACGTGAAGTATTTCTATAAGCAGTGTTTATTGTCTTTGAGAGTCATAGACAGACGGAGCTGCAGCTGGGCTTTGGCCCTTCTAATTTTGACCTGCACAGCCCCATAACATTTAGGACACAGCTCCAGACAAACTGAAAGCATGCATGGGAGGAAAGCACAGAAGTGTTGGAACCTGGTAGCCTTCCATCCCCTACCTCCTGTGATTCTGTGCTGTAATTCCATTCAACTGGTTACTCCTGTATTATCCAAACTTTCCTGAAAGTCCTGATGCTGCTGTCTTCTCAGAGATAGCACAATCACATGGGATTAGAACTGTCTGCCTGCACGCATTAACGCCTGACAGAATGGAACATCAGTCCACGGGAACCTTGAGAAACTGCAAGGTCTGTCTAAAGGAACATCGTGCCCTTTACAAGAAGAAGAGCCCTGTCCTGCACTGATCAAGATTACCCCACATATCAGACTGGGACCCTGCAGAGTGAGCAGTGCCCAGGAGGAGCCTGGGCACCACGAGGGATGCCATACGAGCAGTGGTGCCTCCGTACGAGGAACCAAGGCAGCTTCCTACAGAGCTGCTTTACGAGGAGCATGGACACCAAGAAAATCTGAGTTATCCGACTCAGCTCAGATGTGTAAGAGACCACCAACAGAAGGGTCTGCAGCCAGCAGGGAAAGAGGTACAGGTATGAGAGTCCTTAGGTAAGGCTGCTGTAGAAAGGATTAAAGGCTGTGACAAGACTGAGACTGCCAGCAAGACCCAGGTCTTTGTGTCCATGGCGATGGCTGTTGCCTATGCCACTAAGGCCTATGAGGAAACAGCTGACTGTGAAAGCACCAGGGCCTCATTGCCTCCTCACCACCACCCGTGAAGCAGGCAGGGGTCGTACCATTCTCCTGCACTTGGCCATGCACATCCCCATCTCCTACTACCCCAGAAAA